AACATGTTTTTAAAGAGTTCAATGTCCTTTATAAAACAATTAAAGCTAATCTTCACGTCAAGTGAAGTTCTCTACCACAGACAAAACAAACAGTATCACTAGTCTCAATGTTTCTGTTGAATTTATCATAAATTTGCCCCAAAATCCTAACCACTTCTTATAGTATTTCCGAATTGTGGGAAGCAAATACACGGTCGATGGTGTTACATTTTGAAGGTGAACAAAACATGACAATCAGAAGAATAATCATACAATGGAATGAATCCAGAACAAGCTGTTCGCCGTACAACACTAATTTCTGGTTACCATGTATCTGCGGCAAAAAACCATGTATCATCGGAAAAACCAAGAAAACTTCATTGCATTTGCTTTCACTCGTCTTCAATGCTTCACAATACTTTGGAATAGAAGTCCAATGTAAATTTTAAATGTTCAACGAAATGACAGTTTCAAGGCTACTATTTTCATACTAATAATGTTGAAAACATTACATTAGCTGAGCAAAAAAAAAAAACGTTTCTGAAGAGTTAAGTGTTACGGAGTTAACTGTTAAGAGTTACTGAATAATGTTGGGTCGCACATGGAAGTCCAATGTAAATTTTAAATTTTCACTGAAATTACAGTCTCAAGGCTACTATTTTCATACTAGTGATGTTGTGAACATTACAGTAACTGAGCAAAACAAAAACGTTACTGAAGAGTTCAGAATAATGTTGGGTCGCACTTAGGGAGAAAACTATGCCCCGTCAAGCCCATCGCACTCAGCAAAAAGCATTAAGTACTCTCGATCTGCCTTTCTCGGTTCTCCAATACAGAATCAATTCTACTTACATCCAATTTTTCCCACTCTGTGGAACTCTGGTTAATTTCTTCGACTCTTACAATTTTATTCTCTCTGAATACTTTTTACTGACCTCTCCCTGAATTGTTCTTGTGATTTGTTCGTCGAGTTACAGTTTCAAGTGCAAGGCCACTATTTTCATACTAATGATTCTGCGAACATGACATTAGCTGAGCAAAAAAAAATACGTTACTGAA